TTACTGTGGTGATGGAACCGATAGTCAGGGGGGTTTGGCATATTTGCTTAATTCAGTTGACCCAATTGTGAAAAATTTGCAACCTCGGCGGGAATCGAACCCACACAGCAGGGAAGGTTTTTGCGCAGCCAACACTCTACCATTGAGCTACGAGGCTCATCGTGAGCCGTGAATTTAATCACAATTGGGTCGAGTTTACCCGCCCCACTTACTGCTCGTATGGAATTCACCATTACGGAGCAGCAAACTGACTGTCCAGGCAGGATAATGATTTCGGAACGACAGTCTAAATACCCTTCGGTCCGTGTCCTTGTTCTTTTCTTCTTCTTCTTTGGAGGATGATGAAAACGCTAAGATGTCTAGACCTCGAATCTTCACATATATCCAACTATATGTATTGAATCTAAAACATGCCGGAAGGTAGTCTTTTTTGTATGTATTTGGTAGAAAACAAAATACATCGTATAAGACTCATAAAATTCTGCATTGGATGTGAAACATGTACTATATTTTATAAGCATTACTAATACGAAGCTATCTGAATTGGCACTCCCGTTCTTAAAAATCTTATGATAATGAGCTTTTTAAACAGAATGGTACATTTTTAAGATGAAATTGGAAGAAGAAAACACACGATTTGTGCACGTTTTCCTCAAATACATTTGAATCTATAAGGGTCGCAAAAATCAAGAGGAAAAGTGCATGCTTCTAAAGTGCGTTTTTGGAGACCGCTGAAGCAAAAAAGTGCATTCACGAGCCAGCATCTTGGCGTTACTGCTGTGCAATAACCCATGCCGCAACGCTGCCAAAATAGTGCCTGCTAATCGAAAGGGAAGAGCAGCATTTTGGTTAACAGTTCACGCGCGATGGAACAGCTACTGTATGTCGCTGAGAGGCGTCAAAGTCTGGTTTTATAGACAGGGTGCACCTTTTAGCTGATGTTACCGTTTGATAGACAACGAAGGCTGGACCGTCGCTTCAGAAGACCCTCAAAACATCAATGTGCGGCTACTGTCTACGCCCTTCCAAGGCCTCGTTTGTGGACAGACCTGCTGAGAAGGTGAGGTCCTTGAAAAGACGGGCAATGATATTCATCTTAATAATTCAAACTTCGAGCACACCTAGTCTTGTTTCGATATCTCGG